TTGTGTCGATATATTACATATCTCACCTTGAACAATTAGGTTTTGGAAAATCTATCTCTACGTAAAATTAGATGATTTTTATATAGATGATATTTTTATATTAGCCCCCACAACCCCTCAAAAAAATCAGAAGTCACTCTAACAAGTATCGAACTCTTCTCGTTAACTTTCTTTTATTAGTCTTCCTTTCCTAGAGGTTTTCATCAATTCGAATAGTCACAACTTCGTTAAAAGCTTATTTTTTAAAAGAAGAAAAAGCTCCAAATTACAAGTACAAACTCTTGTCTCCTTAAATTCAACAACGAACGTTCGCACAGATAAAAAAAGATATCCTAAATAACTTTATAAACAAAGCTCGACTAAAGTTATCTTCCCATAAATTATTTTTCGATAGAATGAGCTAACATCAAACGTTTATTAACAACGCAGCCCACATCTAATAAAATTATTTGAAATAAAATTAATAAACTTTTCTTGCTCGACGTTTTAACAGATTCAAATAGCTACAAGTTCACTATTTCCTTATACAAAAAAAAAAATACAAACTCTTGGCCCTTTTATTTCAACAGTGAATGTCTCTACAAATTATCGTCATAAAAGTTTAGAAACAAGGTTCAACTAATCTCATCATCTTACAAATTAATTTCCAATAGATTTCGGTAGTTACCTCGAAAATAGAGGACACATGATTAAAAATATACAATAAACATCAGGGACCCATTTTCCATCGGGCAAACTGATACCACACTGCCGGGCACTACCTAAAAACATTGTTGATATTTAAGCCAAATGATGAATATCTGACAACAAATCCTGAATCTTATACAATTGATACATTCATTTGTTATGATGTTGATTTGGGGTTAGTAGAGACAAACGCCAAATAACATGTAACAATAAAAAGGGTTTTAACAGGTTGGTAAAAAGGTACAGAAATCGCCTGAGTAGTCAATAACTAGCTCAGCTAAGAACTTCCATGTCAACTGACATGCCACTATTTAAAGTCTTTGTTCACAGACGCAGACAAGTTCATCTTCAAGAGGGGTGGTAGGTTTCCGACACAAAACATTTTATGCCTAAAACTTTCTTTAAAGTGAGTAAAACAATTATATGTACATAGATATATAAAACCGTTTTATAATAAAACAAAAAAGAAATCAAATAAAATCGTTTTAAAACAAAAAATAGATATATAAAATCGTTGTGAATAGTGCATTCAGTACTAAAATAGCGATCAGTTTAATGCGTACTTTTTCTGCATGATAATGACTTTATTACGATTCCGTTTTGCTGTGTGATAATGACAGCCGCAAAAATGAAGTCACTTTAGTTAAATCAGTAAATAATGGCGACTTCATTGCACACTGTCCATTAACTTGATAGCTCGCATACAGATTAAATTTTTTCAAACAAATTAGACAACTAAGGACTCAAATCAAGATTAAGAATTCTATAAATTTATTGGCTTTCGAATTACCTATTCTCAAAAGAGAATATAGAAAGACGGCAATGTTTTGATTGAATAAATATTTTTTTCTCTGGCATTTTCAGATTTATTTTGTTCTTCGTATTGCACGATTTAATAATAAGAAAAAAATAATTTAAAAAATACGTCACAAACGATTTTCTTTCAGTTAATTAAGTGTATTTCTCAGTCTTCACATAATCAGCTCACAGAGATATAACTTTGATTTTACGTCAAACTAGCTCTGTTGAATGCTTATAAAATCCTCCAATGCTGTTATCACATATTTGAAAAGTCGATTTTTATTTAACCATAAACGCTAAGAAAAATTAGAACGTTTCTTGATATTGTGGGATCTTCTACAACAAACCAGCCTTACCTCTTTTTAGGAAATGCACTCTTCCTATCTGGTAAGTAACATCCTACTTTCATACAAATATAACAAGTATTCATTGGTCAATCACCTTCAATCTAGCTTGTTGATTGGTCAGTTCTGACCAATCAAACCGCCTACACGCGACCAATCTGTTTTCCCGCTCATATCCTGGGATCCTATCACGTGGTACATGACCATAAAATAAACCAAACACGTGTGAACTCTCTGAGTAGTAGTTTTTCTTTTTATTCATCTCTCTCGCACGTCTCATACCAAGTGCCAAGATGTAACCTTCAAGAACTCCCGTCTTAGTCACTGCTGGCCAGACGTTAAAGACAATTACCAACATTCACGAACTCTGAAATCACTCCTACCAACTTCGCAACTCACAATTCCAAACTTTCTTAATATGAACTCAGGTACAAATATTACCAAGTCAAAAGGGACACGACTCTGTCCTACCTTTTTAGTTCGTATGCATGTATCACACATTAATAAATTTAATTGTTATATTTTGAAATCATTCCGTTCAGTTTTGTATTTTTATACTATCTGCTATTTACGTCAAATATAAATTGCATTGCGTCCACGCATTGTCCTTAATCCCACCTTTCCTAGCCAAAGTTAAATATCTTTAACACTATCACAACAACAACGATAATACCGTCACTACAAGATTGATGATCCCGTCGGAAATAACCAACAATGGTAAACCCTATCACTATCTTAAAAACACGCTATTTAAGCTTATCCTCATCCTTAACTAACTTTTTATTTAGTAATACTTTTAAGATTGTGTTTTATTTTTACACTGCGCTGATAGACGCTATCTTCCGAAAATATCTAACTTCTTTTACCATATATTCTATTTTTTTTCTTCTCTTTCTGATTTTAGCAAGGCTCTTTTGGGCATTGTCTATTAAGTAGCCGAAATCCAAAAATATATGCAACATCTTGGGTTATTCGTTAAAATAAAATTCGATGTGAGATCTCCACGACAAAACTAATCTTTGTGTAAGAAATCTGTTAAACAAACACGTCTTCCGCGTCTGTGGGTCGTTATCGCGTATCTCAACTCACTACTACGTTAGTTATCTGAGCGTTTCGTTTCGGCATCTATCTGTTCGTTTCGCTTTATCCGGACAAAGCGGGCTTTATGTCGTTCAAGGATTACCGAATCAAATAGCACATTGTCCAAGGCAAAAAGAGGCCATTTGGGAGAAGAAGAAAAAAATCGAAAAAAAACGCAGTTTTTCATTTTCGGAAAAAGCTGCCAAGAAAAAAAAATGTCACATTTATAAACTATGGAACAGCAGTTTCAAATAAAATCTGTTGTAAACAACCACCACAGTCACTCTTTTTCTTTTTCCCTTTCTCTCTCTGTGTGTACTATGTCTTTTCTGAAAACGGGCAATAACGGTTCTCCACAGCTTCTTGCCTGTTATAGCATTTGCTCGTTTACAATCACTCTTTACCTTTGTTGTACTTGTTCCATCATTCAGTATATATAGCTCTCCACAGCATCCTTTCTTTTGTTAGTGTCTTCAATACGTGTTTCTTTGGCTTTTGCCTGTCTTTATATTGTTCTTCCATCCATTTTCTCAAAACTTGTAAAATAGGTTCTATCTCTCTACCACTTGTCTTTTTATGTGACATATCCCAGCAGGAAGTGGATGATCATGGTTCTCCACAGCTTCCTACCTTTCGTTGTTCTCAACAATAATTGTGTTGAGGACCCGGTAGCATGCAGTGCTGGCCTACGAAAAGGTGGCCTTGTGCCAGACACTACTTACGACTACCGGATCCAATAACAAAGTAAAAATGATAAATGGGTGATCTTTAGCGAGGGAAAAGGGTCATTTATCATGTGCATAAAAATAGTAAAATATAGATAGCCAGGAGGAAACGACGAAAACGAGTCTGGTGGAAGACAAATATAGAACTTTATTTGAATAACAAATATTTGGTCTCACCCAGTGGGGACCATCAGAAAAGCAAAGGCTGTTCTTAGCCAGTAGGTAAATTGTATAGTGTAGTGACTAGTAGTATGTTAAAGTTCCGCGCCAAAACGAAAAATCAAAATGGCTAAGGCGGGAAAAGTTTCTTCAGAATGAAAGTTCTGGAAAATAGTCTTCTTGTACAAAAGGTGTAAGCATACACAACAAGGAAAAATACTCACTGCGAGGTTTAATAATGTGTATGTAATGTTATCTTTTTTTTAAAACTGGTTCGTAAAGGTTAGAATTCAAAAGAGGTGTATGAAAAGTTCATCAATCTTCAGTGAAGAAAAACTCTACGTTCTCTGGTAGTGAACGGAGGAAAGATCGAACAAGTTGTTCGCATCAAGACGAGGAGTTAGTCTTGGAAAAGTGTGATGACGACCGCGTCGTAGACTCTGGTAGTGAACAGAGGAAAGTTCGAACAAGTTGTTCGCATCAAGACGAGGAATTAGTCTTGGAAAAGTATGATGACGACAGTGTCGTAGACTCTGGTAGAAAATGGAGGAAGGTTCAAACATGTTGTTCACTTCAAGACGAGGAATTAGTCTTGGAAAAGTGTGATGTCGACAGTGTCGTAGACTCTACGTTTTCTAGTAGAAAAACAGTGGTAAGTTCAAACAAGTTGTTTGAAGAAAAGTTGTAATCACACAATATGTTGAAATTTTGAGTAGTTAAGATATTCCGGCCCGGGTATGCGTCAGGGGCACGAAATAAATGAGTCGACCTTCTAGTTTGAAAATCAGGCTGCGACTAACTTGAAAAGTGAAGTTTGTCAGTGACGTCAGAGAAATGCGCGGGAAAACTTCAAATTCCGTTCTAGACGGTATCAGGAGCAGCCAGCAACCTTGTCGGCAACAAACAGGCCGGTTTACTGCTATGTCTAGCCAAAAGTGAAAGGAAGGGGTGCAATACGCGCGCGCGCAAAAGTGGGTGGAATCTATGCACGATTCCACAATTGTTCCTTTATGAATCTTGCCTGTATTTATGGTACTTGTTCTGCCATCCATTTCTTCAAAACTTGTAAATAGTCTCTCTCACTCTCTCTCTCTCTCTGCCTTTCAGGACGTGGATGGTCATGGGCCTCCACAGCTTCCAGTTTTTTGTTTCTCTCATCAGTACTTTATGGTACTTGTCCTTCATTTCTTCAAAACTTCTACAGTAGTCTCTCTTTCTCTCTCTCTCTATCTCCTCTCTTTCTCCCTCTGTCTCTCGCTCTCTGTCCCTCTATCTCACACTATCTCTCCCTCTGTCTTTCTCCCCCTCACCCCCTCTCTCTCTTTGTATGTGCTATGTCCCTTCAGGACATGGATGATCATGGGGCTCCACAGCTTCCAGTTTTTTGTTTCCCTCATCAGTACTTTATGACTATTGTCTGTCTTTATGGTACATGTCCTCCCCATCCATTTCCTCAAAACTTCTACAGTAGGATCTCTCTCTCTCTCCATTTCCTCTCTGTCTCACGCTCTCTCTCCCTCTATCTCATACTCTCTCTCTCTTTCTCCCCCTCACTCCCTCTATCTCTCTCTTTCTATGTGCTATGTCCCTTCAGGACATGGATTATCATGGTACTCCACAGCTTCCTGACTTTTTGGTTCTCATCAGTACTTCATGACTTTTGCCTGTCTTTGTGTCACTTGTGTGTCTCCCCTTCCCCAATCCATCTTTTCAAACTTACCAAGTAGATGACTCTCATTGTTTTCTTTCCGATTTTCTTGTCTTTTCTCATTGTATATTTCAATGAATATTTTTGCAAATATTTGTTTATATATTCTTTTCTATTCCTGTACAAGAAAATGCAGATCAAAACTCGAATGGAAGTTTTAACTATTGTACATTGACTCATCTTAGCTGCTGTCTATAACGTTTCAACTGCTGTACGCTCCGGCCTTCTTCATAAATGTTCTCCAAATTAAGCACCTGAAGAAGGTACATTAACTGAAACATTGTGACTATAAAAAGCAAGGTGAGATCACTAGTTCAAATAAATCAGTGCATAACAATAACACTTCATCTAAACAATTTAGTGAGAAAATATGAAATAACTTTCCAAAGATTTTCAATATTTCAGCGATGCACTTTGCTATTATTTAAATCTGAAATCTTAAAGGTTAGAAACAAAAAAGTTTTTTTTTTACCTCAAAATATTAATAATCCCAACTGTCTATTTGATTTGAAACTCAAAAGTACATATATACATATATGGGTAAATAGCAGGTTCTACAGCCTTGGGTGGCAACCGGTCTAGGAGAAGGAAAACTTTGAATTCAAAAGAAGGATCGTTAGTGAAGTTGTGGCATACTTTGCACTAGTTCTCTACGTGGTCGATTCTGCACAAGCCCCTCACGCACTATAATTAAATGATGCGTGTGGTTAGTGTGGCTGTTCAGTTCTAAGAACTGAGCTGCTGATCCTTCATAGGTCGAAAGCAACGGGAGAGACCTCTCTCTCTCTCTCCCCCATCTCTCTCGCACTCTCTCTCCCTCTGTCCTCTGCTTTCTCTCTCGCACTCTCTCTTCCTCCTATTTCTCTCTCTCTCTCTCTCTCTCTGGCATTATATATATATATATATATATATATATAATGCCATTTCACTTCAGGATGTAAGCAGTCATAGTTCTCCACAGTTTCCTGTGATTTTTCCTTTGTTATATTTGTCGCTTCTTCCATTTGCTTAAACTCACCAGGAGAATGCGGCGAGGATACTACATTGCTCTAAATGGGCCACTTTCTTCTGCTTCTCTTGCTTTCGCTGTATCCTGTGTGTGTTAAATTCTCCAAGCCTTCTTTCCTGAAATGTCCCCCCCAAGGTTTCAGCTGTCTCTTTCTGTTTGCAAACAAGTTTCATTTAGGTCTTATTCTCCTTAAAATCTCCTCATTTTTCACATGTTCTGTCTATGATATTCTTATTATTCACAAGTAGAGCCACATCCCAATCATTTAAAATCTTTTTGCTATTTGTGACTAAATTGCCCAGCATTTACCGCTATTCAGAATTAAGTACAGTGTAACCCGGATATAAGAGACCCGGATATAAGAGAAACGCGGATATAAGAGAGATTTTCTCTGGTCCCAAATTAGAGCCTGTGTTAATGTATATAAATAGACCAAACCCGGATATAAGAGAAACCCGGATATAAGAGACTTCTTCTCCGGTCCCGACAACTCTCTTATATCCGGGTTATACTGTATAAAGCTTAGAATGTATTAAGCCAGTTGTTGTATTACGATTGAAAAAGCGTGAGAAAGTTATATATATATAACGTCATATATATATATATATATATATATATATATATGGAGAAAATGTATGACAAAGTGGGAAAAGTTTAATTGTGACGCGTTTCATCTTTCAGGGCTTCATCGGACTAAATTTGTTATGTTGGTACGACTACACATGCGCACAAACGTGTAAGGTCATCAACAAAAAATTTGATCCCTGTCTCTTATATCTCGCCATTCATGGCAGATCTTCATTGTTACAGTCTGGGATATCTACTAACAATGTAATGGAAAGAAAAATAAAAAGAATCTAAATGAATTCGGTGAGATAAAAAAATCCAAAAAGTTTCTAAAATACCTAGAATCTCGTCCGTACGCATGCGTAGTCGCACTAACATAACAAATTTCATCCGATGAAGTCCCGAAGTGCAAAACGCTTGACAAGAATTTTTTTCCCACTTTGTCAAACATTTTACAATATTGTTCTTGGTATATATATATATATATATATATATATATATATATATATAATATATATATATATATATATATATATATATATATATAATCAAATGGATATATATATATAAATATATATATATATATATATATATATATATATAGTGTAAGAAAAAGCGGTGTTTAATTTTAAATAATTGAGCTATTTAATTTTTTTTATTATCCCAATCATCCCAATAGTAGGAGTAGCACTAGCATGCCAGGGGTTACAGAGAGTGTGCGCAAGTGTAAAAGGGTATTTGAAGAAAGGATAAAAGAAGGACAGGGATCAGGTCAAGGCATCCGAAAATGTCATTTGACATTACGTTTGAATATTTGATGATTATAGCTATCAGTGAAGCAAGTGATAGGAAGGAGTTCCACCGTCAGGAAGTGCGAGATAAGAAACTGTTAGAGTAGAAGAGACGGCTACATTTAACCGTTTCGACAGTGAAAGGATGGGACCGAGATAGCAATCTAGTAGCACGCTTAAATTCATGTAGTTTGGGTACCAGTGAAAGTAGCTCGTCAGAGCAGTTGCCATGAATTTTTTTTTAATTACATAATACCCTACATTGATAGCACAACTCCGAGTTATGGAATTGTGGAATCAATTATATATATATATATATATATATATATATATATATATATATATATATATATATATATGTGTGTGTGTTATATAGTTTTATTTTATAGTTTTAGGTCCGCTTATTTTAATACGATTTTTTAAACTATTAATCACCGCTTATTTTAAATATAAAATATAAATCCAGTGTATACATATTTTTTTTAAACAAGGTAATCCCGAATGATATATGAACTGCACAATCATTGCGTTAACCAGATATTTTTATGAAAATTTTAGTTATGTAACGGTCGCTTTCTACTCAGTACCTGAAGACTGAGTTATTCTACGGGTCAGGATTAATATTGTGGGGAGCTAATGTGATGTGGTAAGAAATGTATCAGAAGGGTTTTGATGAAGGTTGCGTTTTGAAATTAGCACACCACATTTAATTTGCAAAGAAACATGAAAAAGAATGACAAGACATCATTGAATGGTTAACAAGAAAAACATGTATTGAAAACAAGTAAAAATACAATTGTGTTAATGACAATAAAGTTTGAGACGTAAAAATTGTTCCCCTTATATCGTGTGGGACTACAAATATGTGTTGTAAGAACTTTTCTTGTTTAAATTTGTTTACAGTTCAAGAATATTTGATATTTGAGTTTGAAAGTGAGAATGTTGTGCGAAAGAATGATAAAGTCTTGAATAGTTAACTTGGCTTTTGAAACAGACAGTTCACAGTGTTGTGTGTATGAAACTTATGTCTGTGTGTGTGTTTGAGTAGAAGATTGAGAATACACATACGTGGTTAAAGGCTATGAAATTTAATAGTCTACTAATGTTCTTTCTTGAATTTCTGCTATATATACACATAACATAGGCTCCAGGGACGAGAGCGGGAAAAATATTGAAAAAAGTGTCAATTTATATGATTGGTCAAAAATCGACCAATTGTTGATTTTTTCTACAAGTTTGGTAAGGTAAAAAATGAGAAAATTTGATATGATTCATGCGATGAGTAAATTGTCTTTAAAGAAAATAGTGTTTATTTTCTGTCCAATGACTGTTGAGTAATTTGTGGGCGTGGTGTATGTAAACATCCACTACAATATAATAATATATATAATTAATATATACTTAATACTTCTGTTTTATTAACACCTAGCACTCAACTCAATGTAAATTCATATATATATATATATATATATATATATATATATATATATATATATATATATATATATATATATATGTGTGTGTGTGTGTATATATATATGAGTATGTGTTCAATTTTATTTTATCGGTTATTTACGATATATATTATATAATTTAAAATTATTTCTAAATGTCTAAAGTGATTTTTAGTAAATATATCTGTGTGACAAACTTTTATTTTGAATATCGGTTATTTACGATGTATTTCGACAACCAAAAAAAGAAAACCCATATTTGTTTACTTGAGCAAATTTTCTTTATAGGTTTATTCAATGATTGGCAACTTTTTTTTTTACCATGTGAGTTTTTGAACTGTTTAATTTTTTGAGACCCACCCCTATAACCCCAGTTTTGTGAAAAAATTTATTTTATTTTGTCTGCAGAAATAAGTTTGGGAATGGATGATTCAATGAAAGAAATAATAAACTTTTGGTACCTTTATTTTGAAGTAAAACTAATTAAATCCATTAAAATGATTCATGCTATTTAACAACTTAAAGAAGAATGGAAAATTTTGTTTACATTAGTACATATTGGCAATTGACAGTATGAAAATATTGGGGACACCATAGACTTTCAGAAAGTATCCAACCATTTTGAATATATCAACTGAAGAGGTTCATATCTTAAAATTTTTCCACAATATCACATCATCCACGTAATCAGCCCCACCGACATTGAATTAATTTTATTACTTTAATATTTTTCTCTTTTAAATATTTTATATTAATTTATATATATATATTATATATTTTATTTTATTAATATTTACAATTAATGGAATTAAATATTATTAATAGTGTTAGATTAATACCTCATATAATAAATTATAACATTTAGGAACCATTATCCTTCATGTATAAATAATCAATTGACTTTTTATTCTTGTTGACAGTTTTTTTATGACAGAAATTTTACAATCAAAACAAGAAAAATTGAATAAAAAGGACAGTACCTTGTACAATCAACTTTAATTTCGTTTATAAAACAGCTAATTTTAGAGTTATATTTATATATTTTATA